GGGCCAATTTTTTTATTTTTTTTTTGATTTAAAAAAAAAAAGAAATAACTTGTTGCAATATATTTATATTTATTAGTAACTAAGAAGAAGAAAATAACACCAGAACATACTGAATTTTTAAGCAACACCCCCTCAATTTTAATCTTATTTAACTATTACAATAACATGCTGGATTTTAAAGTAACACACAGTTTTCACCTTATTCCACAAATTACAACAGAATAATCACAACACAGTTCCTTTTTCCTTCAGATTTTTATTCCCTTTCCATTTGCAACCATATAGAATCAACTGTAATAATTACACTTACGGTTTTCCTATGAAGCCAACAGTTGGCTCCATAGTGGAATCAACCTTCTATATACAACAAATAAATCAACTATATTAATAAAATTATATTAGTGTTATTTAAGTGAACAGAGAATATGATAAATTTATTTGTTGTATATAGAAGGTTCGCTTCACTATGAAGTCAACTGTTGGCTTCACAGCAAAATCGGACAACCTTAAACTATCAAAATCCAGTCAAACAAGACATTGAAAATTCCATAACAATCCAAATCCAATACCATTTTATTCCAATTAAATTCACTCTATCAACACACCCTAAACACACACACACACACACACACACACACTCACACACACACCTTTTCATGTTTGAACACAAATCTGTTCAATCTATAGCCACAAAACAAACCTCAATCACCAAAAAACCACCAAAACTTAAAAAAAGGAGAGAATTTTCACTTTCACTTTCACATTCACACACTATATATAGACTTCTCCCCCACATTCAAATCATCCAAATAATCCCTCACAGCATCCCTCACATCCTCGGCCGAACCAAAAAACCCCCCGAAAAACCCCATCAGCCCCTTTAACTCCTCATCTCTTAGATCGTCTGTAAATGGTCTGACCGGAACTGCATTACCCGGCTGCAGCTGGTAAGAACACGGATTATCATCCACGATTACTGCCCTGTCGAGTTCCCTCCCGACAATTTCAAGATCCTTAACGAACCTCCCGTCAATCTCCCGGCACGAGTCCCTGTACAGCCTGTAGGAGATCAAGCCCTTTGGGTCTAGCCTGTCGATCACGAGGGAAGCGTACTCCTTGATGCCAGCTGTGAATATCACGATTTCGAAGGATGACCGGCTGAGGAAGCTCAGGAATTCGTCGACAAAGGGCCGTTTCAGGACAAAGAAGTCGACTTTTTCGCCGTCGATTAAGGGGGTGACTGCAAAATCGTATCTTTCGGGTGGAATGTTTGGGGTGGAGTGGACGAGGGTCTCGTCGAGGTCGAGGAAGACGGTTTTCCGGCGGGCGGAGGGCGGCGGCGGCGGGGGAAGGGCGGCGAACAGGGATCGGGGGAGAAGGAGGAGGGAGGGGTCGCCGTCGGCGGCGGCGGAGGGTTTGTCGAGGATTTGGTAGCCACGTTTGGAGCGGCGGGGGGAGGGGGTTTTCTTGGTGGGGGCGAGCTTGGCAAAGATCCTAATGAGGCGGCGGCGGCAGGTGTGGACGGAGCGGTTGAGGGAGGCGACGACGGCAGCGGCGGCGGTGGCGGCGGGGTTCTTGGCCGGAGATTTACGGCGGCGGCCGTGGGTCTTGTTCCGGTTTCTGAGGGATTTTGTGGGGGTTCTCTTCACTATCTTGGACACCATTTTTTGTTGTCTGGATTAAAGAAAAGGATTGGCGAATGAGAGAGAGAGAGAGGGTTGGGCGATATTTGGGGGTGGTGAGCAAGAGAAATAGGTTTCGAAAAACTAGGTTCGGGCAACAACGGTCGATTTTATGTTTGGTTTGGAACCGAAGCTAAAGGAAACGGGAAGAAAAGAAATTTGAATAAAGTAGGTGGTTAAAAATGGAAACAAAAAATATTAATTGAAAGTGAATGGGAAGGTGTTAGTTTGAACTGTTTAATTCTTATGGCCAATTCAATTATTCAAATGCATTTTGGCGGGGTTGCATCGTTCGTTTTGAGCTCGATCTAAAAAGTTAAGGGGGTGATTCTTTATTAGTTGTACAGTAATTTTTTTTACTCAAACTTAAATTTAACTCAATTTTAACTCAACCACATTATCTTCAATATTATTATATAATTAAAGAACATCAACAAATCATTATTACATATCACATCAATTTTAATTCACTATTCATCTACTCACATAATTTTAACTAATTTTAACTAACTATTACTTCCAATCATTTTCTCTTACTTTTACATCAAATCAATTTTAACAATTTTATTTTAAATACTATTTTAATATATCCACTAACAACTAACCATACCACTTTTTCTTAAACTTAACCATAATTAAAAAATTCTAGATTTTTTACTATTCAAACCATAAACAATCACCCCCTAAAGAGCTTGGCTAATTCGACATATAGGCGATTGCACTGGATTTTAAGCCGTCGGATTATAATTGTGAAGACATAGTTAGTGTTGTAATCAAACCAAACGAGTTGAGCTTGAACTTTCTGATCTTGTGTTCGAACATTGTTCTTGTTTAGTATTTGACAAAACAAAATCTTTTGTGAGTTTTTTTTTTTTAATTAAAGTTGAATTCGTTCGTGTCTGAATAATTTAGTGTACAAACTTTGAGATTGTTTGATTAACACAAGATTTGTTCGTTTGAACTCGTACGAGCTTGAAAGAAAATAAAAATATTTTCTCAATTTATATTTGTTTTATTAAAAAAATCATACATATATAACTCTAAAAATATAAAGTATTAAATTAATGCTCACAAACATTATCGAACTTTAAGCGAACACGTGAGTTCATGTTCGTTGGACCATTAAGAGCATGTTTGTTTATAAGAATTTTCAAAAATTTTCCAACATTTAAACTCAACCACTTTTTTTAACTCAACTTTAACTCAACACCACTAATCAATCATTCATACACCACATCAACCTTAATTCACTATTCATCTACTCACATGATTTTAACTAACAATCACATCACATCTTCTCTCTCCTACTTTTACTTCAAATTAATTTTATTCATTTTATTTTAAATATTATTTTGATATATTCACTAGCAACTAACCATACCACCTTTTCAAAATTAACCAAACCAAACAAAAAAATCCAAACAAACTCAAAATTTTTTATAAACAAACATGCTCACAACCCTAGGTTTTTATTCAAATTCGACTCCATTAACAAATGAAGGACCTTTTTTATCGGATGCAAACGAGCTTTTAATCGTAAACATTCAAATTGTTAACAACAAACACCACGCACAACCGTGTATGCGTATGTTGATCAAACGGTTCAAAACGTCTATTCACAATATTACGGTGAAAAATACCCTAAATCCCTATATATGAGCCCAAAATTGGTCCCATGTCAAAATAAATCTACAACCTTGTACAGGCCCAAGATTAGTCCATATCAAAGGAAAAATCCATTGTACTCAGACTCAAATCCACCTTTTTTAGCTCAAAGCAACTTCTTCAGCATATAAGAACACCATATGTGAGATGAGAATATATACATAAAAGAACAAGAAAATATGCTGTACTTCTTCAGCATCAAAACTTACATACAACATGAGTTAGAAGACCAAGGATTAAAAAATAACAGCATCTTCTGTATAAGATAAAGAAAAAATAACAATTAACCCAAGATAAAAGGTATGAACAAATATTAGAGTGAACTGCTTTAATTTGTGCTTCTATTAGAGACGGCTCGTCTCTGGCAAATTCTCGGGATCACAATCGGCCTGCAGCAAAGTAGGGCAAGAAAGAGCTCCACTGTAAAGATAACCATGCTAATCCACACGAACAATGTCTTTTTCCAAAACCATAACACCCTTTTCACTAGAGGAAGCTCGGATTCTAGGGTCAAATGCGCGTTGTATATTTCGGGAATGCCACCACCAGGCGAGAACTCGGCTCGCTGCTCCATCACCACTCTTAAGTTGGCGGTTGGCTTTAGGCCTTCCGTGAAGCCTCTGAAATTTATGTTTATATTCTGGGTTTCAGATGTGTAGCCGGTTAAGATTGGGGCAAGCTTGAGAAGAGTCAGCAGAAGTCGTATTGGTGGACTTCTGAACTGAAGCATGCACGGGCGCCTCGAGGTTGCGAGAATTTGGCCATCAGCAGCAAGGAAATCCACTCTGACCTTCAAAAAAGTGAAAAAAAAATAGATTATAAATCTTTTAAAGAGAAACTTCAAAATCAAATTTACAAGGACTCGTTCGGATGTCGTTGTGAAGCCTCCATGGCAACATTATTTTCAAATTCTAAAGGAAAAGGGGAATTTGGAAAGATACCATCTTTTCACTTATTCTCTACAAAAATACCATATTTGGTCTTAATATCAGTCGTCAACACTTAACAGTCATCATGTTAGTCATTAGAGACAAGGGTCGTACTTTTTTTGACACCACAGAGAAAAGGTGGTATTTTTCCAAATTTCCCAAGGGAAAATCGGTGGTATCTTCCTGTCTAGAATCTGTCATATTTTATTTATAAGTATTTGGGAAAACTTCCATAATAATGGATTACATTCGCAACATCCCAGTGCCAGCATCCTAAGTCTCATAATATGTGGCAAGACTCTACCAAAACACACAAGAAAAGAGCCTACTTTTCGATGCACAAAAAATAATTCATGACAAAAGGAAGTGTGCATTCAAAAATACACTCCGGCAACCAAAACAAGCCAAAATAAACCAACAAATACCTGAAATACCCCGAGATTTTGGTTGTACTCCGACTCGGGCAAAGTCAATGCAACAGTAACCTTCAATTTGTGATAAGGTGGTATAATTCTTGATCCACCACCTTTCCCAAGTTCACGATTCTCCCCAAGATACATGTCGTGAATGAACTCCGAGCCTGTTACTATAGGTACATATGCCACCGGGCTTTTCTCCTTATAATCAAAATTCAAACTCCTTTGTATTCTAGTAGGCTCCTCCACCACCACCTTTATTAATATTCCACTCGTCACAAAAGCCGAAAACAACAATCCCACTAAAACGGCACACACATAACAAGACCACATTAATCCCCATAGGCATTTCAATACGAGTTTCCAAATCGACTGGTGTTCTTTAAACCATTCGTTGATGAACTCTGTAACAAGTTGGTACACAGAACTCCAAATGGAATTAATTTTCCCAAATAAATACTCTCTGCAGCTCTTCGAAAACCCGAACGGATCGTAAGCAAGCATGTACAGGTAATACAACGAATGTATGGGGAACGTAATTACTTTTACAGACAAAAGAATTTGGAAGCTAATGCACTTGATTACTATACCAGCTAGAGTCAATAAAAGACTCGAATGTGCAGCTTCTTCTTCGTGGTCTCGCAAGCTCGAGCCATTCCTTGCTAAATCCTCACGCGTGGTATCAGGGGCAGTTGCATTTGTTACAGTAGAAGGTTGTTCACTTGTCTCGCCCTTCTCATCAATTACGGTGCTTTCCGGTGAATTTGATCTGAATTTGGTTTCTAATGGATCGGAATTTCCCAATTCACTCGCGCTTTCCTCACTTTTTCGCGAATTCCTCAATTTTGACCGACGACGGCGTATATCTGGCCGGGACAGGTCATTATCCGCCGGAGATAGATTAGGGTTTTCAGATTGGATCGACACTCGAGGTTCTATCGGTTCGGAGAAAGATTCAAACGCATCATAGAACGGGAAATCGTCGAGCGCGTCGTGAAATTCATCTTGATCGTCGTGGTGACAGCTCCATTTCGGTTCCTCCATTCGAGTTTGATCACCTGAAGGCGTGAACGTGAACCAGAGGTGATATTTACTATGGAGTGGTGATTGTACGCCTTGCTTTGCGGGCTGTACATAAATTGTATAGTATAGTCTCAAGAAGAATCTTGTTACCTTGACAAGACGATTTCATTTATTTAATCTAACTTGGAATAAACGAAAAAATATAACCAATGTGATTTTCCCGTGAGTGGGAATACTCGTTAGTGAGTTTGTTTTTTTAATAAAAATGTATAATTGTCATATTTAATGTTATAATTGTGATTAAATATAGATTTTAAACATATATCCGCCTACATGGAAAGTATCTTACGACCTTCCGAGGATTGGATATGTCGAACCTATCGTGCTTAACCATATATCCGCCCCCAGCGGTGGCTGCTCGAGCCTATGAAAACCAATTCACTCGCGTTTGCCTCACTTTTTAGCGAATTCCTCCATTTTTTCTCTCTCTCGGATAAGTATCAGAATTTATGAGCGAGCTAAGCGTTGACGGCTCCGTCGAGTCATCGCCGGGGGAATCCTGACGTGAATGTGACCGCCGACGGCGTATATCCGGACGGGGCAGGTCTTTATCCGCCGAGGATGGATCAGGGTTTTCAGATTGGATCGACACTTGGGGTTGTATCGTTTCGGAGAAAGCTTGAAACGCATCATAGAACGTGAAATCGCCGAGCGCGTCGTGACAACCCTTTCGGTCGAAATCGTCGAGCGCATCGTGAAATTCCTCTTGGTCATCGTGGTGCTCGTTGCATTTCGGTTCCTCCATTCGAGTTTGGTCATCTGAAGGGGTGAACCAGAGGTGATATTTTCAATGGAGTGGTGATTGTATGTCTTGCTTCACAGGCTGTACATAAATAAAATTCATTCTTTCTATTACCAGCCTACAATTTCTTTCACCCGTATTACATTCTTTATTTTTTCTGCCTAATACAATCTCATATAAATACGTTTTTTTTTCAAACTCGAGATAATGGATCCGTAAATAGATTAATTATTTCTTTATTCTCAATAGTCCACATTGGACAATATTCTACAATTTGTCAAGAGATTTATCTTCTTTCCCCGTCGCCTTCTCCCCTCAAATTAAACCTCTTCTTTCCGTCGCCTCTCTATTCAATCGCCGCCTCTGTCCCGGCAGCCGGCCTCTATGGTAGTCCCCCCCTCGCCGCCCGGCCCTCCCAAATGCCGCGACCAAGCTCGCCTCTGGCTTTGGTGGTCCCTGTGGCGCTAATTCTACTTTCGCTTTCTTCTGAAATTGGACTAGGGTTCGCCATAGCCAATCTTTCCGTTGCTAAGAAGTGACCTTGGGTCGCGGTGCTCTGGCTCTGGGTCGGGGGCGGCCTCGGCGGACCATTTTTTCAGGTGGAGTCTTGGGATTTCAGGCGGTCCTCTCCCTCTCCCCGAATTCGACTCTGTCGGCGAGATTTCCGTTTGCCACGGGGTGTAGGAGTCGTCGGGCTGCTTTGTTCTTTTTCACCGGCGGTTTGGTGTGTGAAGACGGAGTGCTTTTGGTCGTCGATTGGTTGTTGTCGGTCTCGATTGAGGGTGAGTCTCCTTCTAGTCGCTCTTGTCTCGGTTTTATTTTGTATGCGGCTGGCGGTGTTCGGTGTTTCGAGGGTTGGGCTCTTGAGTTGCCCAGGTTCTTTGGCCTGTGGGATGGTGGGGTTGAGGTTGCGGTATCGAGACAGCTCTTTTCCCCGGTTCTCTTAGTATTCGAGGTGTTCACGGTTCTGCTGAGCTCGCTAGTGGTGTTAGGGGGCTAGGTTAGCCGTGTTGGGAGCTTCTTGGTACTTCTGATGTGGGGGGTGAATTGGCTTTGGTGGGTCTCGTGGTTCGAGTTGCGATCCAGCTAGGCTTAATTGCAGTGGAGGGATCATTTTTTCAAGTGGTGGGGTTCCCTAGGGTTGATTTTGTGGCTGCTAGTCTGGTTGCATTTGCTGTAGAGGGAGGGCTTTTTGTGTGTTTTTATGTTTTTGTTGTTGCTCGAGTCTGTTTAGTTAAGTGTTTTTGGTCTGGGTTCTTTGCCTGAGTGTTTTGTATTGTATTTTTAGTCTGGGCCGTTAGCCTCTGTGCTGATTCCCCCGTGGGGGGCGATCCTATTCTCCTGTGGGGAGAGATCCTAGTTGTGTTGGTGTCTTTTAGTTGTGTGTAGTAGGTTTTCTATTCTAGTGTGGCTAGCGAGGCTCTAGGCGGTCTTTCGATCTGTCCTCCCAGTTTCTAGTTCTTGGTTGTAATATTCAGCCTTGGGCTGTTTCTTTGCACAGTTGTGCGTTTTGATTTATAATACCTCTATCGTTTCGGCCAAAAAAAAAAAGAGTCTCACAATTTGAGTCCGTAAATAGATTAATTTCCCATTTGTTGTAAATTCTGGAGCATTATACGTGTGGGTTGAGGTTCTTGGACACCAAGCACATGCAAGAATTCGCCACGATTTGGGACGAAGTCGATTGTAAAGTTCGAGAAAAGAGGAGCTTGAGTTGGTGTTATCAACGAGGAGAAAACAAGCGTCAAAGAGAAGGTGAAAATGTGAATTTGAAGGTTGGAAAAAGTGTTGGGCTGTGTTTTCCATTTTTCGATGGCTCTGATTCTTTTTTTTTTGTTATTTTCTTGCTAATTTACGTGTGGTAATTTCTGGAAAAAAAAATAAAAAAAAATTAAAGGAGATGTTTAACGTTAATTCGATGTTTATCTATAATTTCTTAAAGCTAAGAGCTGAAAATAATGGTTCACTGGTCGGACTAGTGGTCGAACCGTTTTAAAAATATATAATTTTTTATTTATTTTGTAATATCCCGAGATATTATCAGTATAAATTACGTTTAATTTCGATATAGTAATGTTATCGTTTACTATTTTCGGAATTAAATTAAGTTCAGTCGGATTACCGAAA